AGGCGATCATCTGGTACAGCCAAACGTAGCACTTGATTCATTCAGTTTGCAGTAATAACCCCCGCCCCCTCATATGTAACTTTCCCCCATTCCCGACATGGGGAATGGTAAGCAAAGACAATTTATGAACAGGAAGACAATATCTTCTGAGGTAACTGTACCTTTTTAGAGTTTTCTACACATTTACGTTTATGCGCGCTTGCTGATTCATGATTATTGATTTGAAATAAGCTCCCTTCTCTAACAAGTCCCCTCTATTGATCCCCACCCCCCTCCCTCGAGAGATCTGGGGAAAAAAAAATTAAGATGGCGAAAAAAATTGGTGTGTTGGTTTGAACTGTGGTACCACAGCATCATGTCAGTTTTTTTTATTTTCATGTTTTAAGTCTGTTATTCTTGTATGTTAGACGACTAAACCAAAGCAATCTTTTGTTATTTTTCTAGTGCATTTGTACCTTTGTATCGTGTCACACATGGTCTTCTTTGTGGCAGCGGCAAGGTTTTCCCAGCCATGGTCCTTGATAACTTTTGAGCCAAAGGGTCGAACTGAAGCAGAAACTACAAATGGTCTGGGTGCAAGTTTCCTATGAATCGCACGTCTACTGCTAGAAAGGACCGCTCACATGTACGGGGACGAAGCTCAAGACATCGAATTGATTCCCAGCAAGATAGTATCGGAAGGACTCTGTATTTTAATAACTCTGTACTGAATATTTATACGTCCAAAATAAACTGCTACGAATAAGAATTTGCCGCTAGTTTAATTGATTTTTGTCTGGAGGGTGAGAGGCACTACATATAAAACTGACGGGGCTGCTACACAACGCAACTGAATGTGATTAATCTGTGTACATCCGCCTCCTTTCCTCAGAATAAATCGGGGGTTGAAAGAGTCTCTCAACTCTCTCTTCCCCCGATTTATTCTGCGAAAAGGAGGAGGACGCGATGAAACGTTAGAAATCTCTCTTCCCCGATTTATTCTGCGAAAAGGAGGAGGATGTACACAAGGTACTCAGAGGGTTTGCAGGGTCCTCTGGCTATGACGATCTCTCTCTCGTCCCCAGTCGTCTACGCGTCTCTCTTCCCCCGATTTATTCTGAAAAAAGGAGGAGGATGTACACAAGGTACTCAGAGGGTTTGCAGGGACCTCTGGCTCTGACGATCTCTCTCTCGTCCCCAGTCGTCCTACGCGTCTCTCTTCCCCCGATTTATTCTGAAAAAAGGAGGAGGATGTACACAAGGTACTGAATAATGACCAGCGTTTAAAAATCGTAAACTTGAGAGAGTTTGCATTGATTGGGTAGACAGGTACGTAAGATAGTTCACCCGGCCTACTAGGCCCAGCTTGCAAAAAGTATATCTCCGTCGTCTCCGAGGGGAATTACTTCATAGCTTCTAAAGCACCGCTTCCAGATCGCATTCAGCTACGCGGAATGTGTGGCACAACAGGCTTTGGTCAGAACAACCGTGCTCTGTCCATACCGGATTTATATCGCGTCAAAATGAAGCCCATTCCAGAGGTGGTAGAGGATACAGTGGATGCAGTTCGCAGGGAAGAAGTCCAGTTGGAAAGCGCGTGCCCCCTGCACGATAACCACGATCACTCGCCAAGAAACGGCTCTTTAAAGGAGATGTACGTCTCGCAGTACACACACCATTTTGACCCCAACGAGCCTCGCTCGCACATCGCCGGCTGGAAGGTCGACATTGAGCCGAATGGCATTCCACATCGTCGGTCCCGTATGTGCGTGCTCAACAACCCCGTCGTTTCGGGATCACGAAAGCGGCCCGAGCGCCCGAAGTCTGCTCCTCCGACCCTGCGGGCGTACGAGTTCGATGCTTTCATGGAGAACATCGAAGATGACAGACTCTCGTGCGCCACTCTTCCTAACTTCCATCACGGCTTCCCCGAATCCACACGAAGTACCGACGACTTATCGAGCCGTCTGAAAGATTTAATCGTCGATGCTCCGCCGGCTCCGGAATACATCAACGACGACAGCTCTTTCGGCTACGATCCGAGCGATGACATGTCGGAATCGTCTTCGGCGTTTTACCATGACCAGAGCAACAGAAAGCGCGATCCCGCCAAATTTAACTACAGTCGCCCCAAGTTGCTCCGACTGTCTGCCGATTTTCCCGGGGTGAGAAATATGGAAAAAATGCGCCGAAAGCGTAAAAGCATGGGTTCGTCATCAACGGGTTCCACATCTCCTTCTCCTGAATCTCCATCCGGGGAATACGGATTTTTCGTTGCGCTCACATCAAAGGATCAAGTTGCAAAGCAAAGGCATGGCAGATACTATTCCATGACTTAATACGAACAATTGAAGAAAGAAATGAAAGAAAAAGCAACAAAATATTCGCAAGAATTTTGCTCGCTCCATGTGGGAGAATATTTCAGATCAAGAAAGAACGAAAGTTTCCTTTTCCGTAATTTGCACTATTTAAAACACGGTCAGGAGATCAAGTGACAACTCCTTAGGCTCGTTTTTTATTGGCTCTCTTCTCGCCTGGGAACGAGGCTGCTCCTGTCTCCGACTCTTATTATATCCAATCGACAGATAGCACGAACACTCGCTCATACCGAAGAATACTCCCGGACATGACGCCAAATAGATGTACGTCATGTTGCTTAGCAACTTCCCTGACGAAACCGCAGGCTCAGTTCAGTCAAATTCTAGTCTCCTTGGCAACCGTTTGGTCGTCAAGCAACGCTTATGCAGCCCTTAAGTTTTCAGTGACAATTATAAACATAGAAAAAACTTTAACTATTTTGATGGCAGGGGTCTTCTCAGTATCTCTCCTATTTAATTAAAACAAAATAGACGAGTTTTGAAACTTTGAGAATCTCTTAACACAATCCCATTTTTAACAGCTAGCTGCTAGGGACCCTAATTGACCTAATTCAGTTGTAAACGAAAATGAATAGCAAGCAAGCTTTAAATAATATTACTTTTATATTTTGTCTTCTCGTAAGCCATTCAAGTGCAGCTAAGAAAGCCATTCAAATGAATCTGGATTGATAACAAAACAAGTTTAACCTGAACTGGTTTACATGAAATAAAACTTTTCAAGTGTAAACGTTTAAACGTAAAGGACCACCGACGCAAACACTATGGCAGTGTTTTTGCCGGATCTCTCGTTATGGAGATACACGTACTAGACGTAATTAAACCTGCCCTTTTAAATGTCCATAGTACTAGCCTTGCATTTTAAATTGTTTTAAAACTTTTCAAGGTCGTCGATTAAGGGCGCAAATACCTGACACTAATCTATCAATAAGCCCTTTGACACCTAACTAAGCTTCTTTTTTATTTTTTAATGTAAAAAAGTATACTGTTTCGGGATTGCATTGTAACATATCTTAATGTAAGGATATTGTGTCTGATGATTCACAATTAAATCTGTGAAGACCAACAAGTGTTTGATTTTCATTATTTTATTATAGCTGATTATCACGAAGCAGGCGAACAGCCCGTGGGGAGGGTAGAGGTAATTTTTTCCTGCCCTCCTCTTCCCTAGATGGGTCATTCGCTGTTTATCCGACAGCAATCTCGTACCCTGACTGAGTTCCTCCTGACCGGAACGTAGCTCTGGGTACGAGATGGCTTGCCTTGCAGACAGGAGCCCAATGTGTGACCACTGTTTAATTAATTCGCATTCGCGCGCATACTATCCAATCAGAAGCCGAGGATAGCTATCTTCGGCTTCTGATTGGATAGTCTGCACTCACAAAAGAATGTGAATTAATATTTATAGTGTTTACACTTTTCTGCTCCTTCCTGCTCGCCATAAACCGTCAATGAGCTACTCCGCTACGTAGACTAGTCGTCCAACCTATACCATGAGCAGTCCCTCATTGCGTTGAGAAGCAAAATAAAGTGAAAACGAAAAATGGTCGGGCGAGAACGCGCGGTAAAAGCATCCTTATAAAACAAAACACCTCGATCTGATGTGACCATCATCATCAAATGCCCCCTGGGCCCTGGAGGGCTTCTATTCTCGTCAAATCTCCATCTCCCTCTATCGGAGCTGCACTTCGTCTCCTATTTCCTTCCTGCGTTTTCCGACGCACGCAGGCTACATTACTTACCAAGTATACTTAATTTAAGCGTCTGGACTTAAGATTTTCATAAGTGTGCAAATTTTTTTCAACCGGGACTCGGATGTCGAGCCTGCAATTTATATGTCAGCGGCTTATCACAAAAAATGGCTCGTACCCAGTCCTCAGGACAAGGCGGCAAATTCGGAGACAAAATGGCGGATGTTGGTCAAGTTTTGAAGACGTAAGTATAAAATTGAACGATTTTCATGACAGATTACAGTTTGCTAATTCAAGTGCACATTAACTGTATTTAATTTATTGATGATCAGTCTCGAGGAACAAATATCCAAGGCTCATAAGCTGTGTTTGCAGAGAAGAAACGAAATCGAATGTTGTGTTCAGCAATGTAGAATCCTGCTGAAGCCATGGTAAGCATATGTTTCTGGAGGATCGTATTGATAACATTTATCTTAGTTGATATTATTTCTGCCAACCAGTACAAACTGGTAATCTGGAGATTTTCGAAACAAACCGATTGTCTGTATACCTGCCAACTTTTTCTGAGACAACGGCGTGAGATTTACACAAAATTAATGTATATCCTAACCCCCCCCCCCCCCAAAAAAGAAGCTTTTTGAACAAATATATTAGAATTTTGCGGTATTATCCTTAAAAATTATTATCAGTTATTCAGCACTAACAACAAGTAAGTAAGTAGTAATTTATTTAACCACATGTCACGGATGAGTTCGAGACTCTTTAAACGTGAACGTGCAAAATACAGAATAAGACATCTAATAAGAGCCCCACAATAAGACTGTCTTGCCAAGTAAATCTTTACTAACCTGACGGGGAAGTGAAGATATAAACTACTCTGGGTAGAGGGGTGGGGAAGCATAGTTTTGACTCAGATTACAAGGGAGAAATGATTCTCACAGAGATTACTGGGAGAGACAGGGTGGCCTAATGGTTCGTGCGCTGGACTCTGCATTGAGCGGTCCGGGTTTGAGCCCTGGCCCAGGGGTCATTGTTGTGTTCTTGGGCAAGGCACATTACTCTCAAAGTGTCTCTCTCCACCCAGGAGTGTAATGGGTACCGGCGACAAACCTGTGATGGACTAGCATCCCATCCAGGGGGAGTAGCAATACTCCTAGTCACTTCATGCTACAGAAACCGGGATAAGCTCCAGCAGTTGTGGGTCACTAGGCTTGTGAAGACCAAAAAATCTCCTTTTTGATCCATTTTTTGTGCTACATGTAGGCCACTGAAATCCAAAATGGATAAAAAAGATGAAGAACACACAGAAAGCACAGTGACACAGAATGGAGAAACCCATCACGGGGGAAACAGAAGCTGAAAGCAAAGGTCAGAACCGAATGTAAGGTGTTTTGTGTGATTTGTCAAGTCCAGGCCAAACAAGGATGAGAAGTTGGCTGTCATGAGAGTTTTCTGCAACTTTCACCAGCCTGGCTGTAACAAGAGAAAACTCTCGATGACTATCAAGAAAAATTCAAACAGGTTCAAATTTTATGAGAGCGCACAAGAGTTGATGAGAGTTGCAGAGAGTGCATGAGAGTTGCAGAGAGTGCATGAGAGTTGCAGAGAGTGCATGAGAGTTGCAGAGAGTGCATGAGAGTTGCAGAGAGTGCATGAGAGTTTCAGAGAGTGCATGAGAGTTGCAGAGAGTGCATGAGAGTTGCAGAGAGTGCATGAGAGTTGCAGAGAGTGCATGAGAGTTTCAGAGAGTGCATGAGAGTTGCAGAGAGTGCATGAGAGTTTCAGAGAGTGCATGAGAGTTGCAGAGAGTGCATGAGAGTTTCAGAGAGTACATGAGAGTTTCAGAGAGTACATGAGAGTTTCAGAGAGTGCATGAGAGTTGCAGAGAGTGCATGAGAGTTTGCAGAGAGTGCATGAGAGTTTCAGAGAGTGCATGAGAGTTGCAGAGAGTGCATGAGAGTGCAGAGAGTGCATGAGAGTTTCAGAGAGTGCACGAGAGTTGCAGAGAGTGCATGAGAGTTGCAGAGAGTGCATGAGAGTTTCAGAGAGTGCATGAGAGTTGCAGAGAGTACATGAGAGTTTCAGAGAGTGCATGAGAGTTGCAGAGAGTGCATGAGGAGTTTCAGAGAGTGCATGAGAGTTTCAGAGAGTGCATGAGAGTTGCAGAGAGTGCATGAGAGTTTCAGAGAGTGCATGAGAGTTGCAGAGAGTGCATGAGAGTTTCAGAGAGTGCATGAGAGTTGCAGAGAGTGCATGAGAGTTGCAGAGAGTGCATGAGAGTGCAGAGAGTGCATGAGAGTTGCAGAGAGTGCATGAGAGTTGCAGAGAGTGCATGAGAGTGCATGAGAGTTGCAGAGAGTGCATGAGAGTTTCAGAGAGTGCATGAGAGTTGCAGAGAGTGCATGAGAGTTGCAGAGAGTGCATGAGAGTTGCAGAGAGTGCATGAGAGTTGCAGAGAGTGCATGAGAGTTTCAGAGAGTGCATGAGAGTTGCAGAGAGTGCATGAGAGTTTCAGAGAGTACATGAGAGTTGCAGAGAGTGCATGAGAGTTTCAGAGAGTGCATGAGAGTTGCAGAGAGTGCATGAGAGTTTCAGAGAGTGCGTGAGAGTTTCAGAGAGTGCATGAGAGTTTCAGAGAGTGCATGAGAGTTGCAGAGAGTGCATGAGAGTTTCAGGCCAAACGAGAGCTATGAGGTATCAAACCACGGATTTTAACCCCTGAAAGACTGTTTAAATATGGACTGCATGGATAATCACCCTTGATCAAGGATTAGGCATAAAGTTGTTCTGTCAACAATTTGACGATTACCCGAATACAATACATACTGTCACTTTTGACAAACTGTTATCAGTGTGTGTTTAGACAACCCTATGAAATAAATATATTTGCTATGTCCTTTTGTTTTAAATTTTAGCAAAGAAGCTGAGAAGCAAGATATGGCAGCACTTGAAGTTCTTTTAGCCAAGGCACAAAAAGCAAGGGAGATACAGACAAAGGTATGAAGAAATTAACCCATAGTTCAAAATTGAAAAAATATTCCAGTTTTAATTTTTCATAATGTCAATGAACAAAGAATATAAACATAGTGCTCAATAGCTTTCATTTGAAATTGGTCACACCCTCGGGTTTTATTCATAGATTTAGATTAGTTAAAACCAAATTAGTTCACTAGTTTGTCTCTGGGAGTGAAATGGTTGCGGAAATCCTGGGCTAATCCACATGAACTAGCATCCACAATATGTCTAGACTAGTCGCTTCATGTTATGGAAATCAAGATAAGCTATGGTCATGTGACCTGAGCGCAGACTACAGTTTTTAGGGTAAAACTTTAGGGTTGACTATTCAGGCTATCTATCGAGTGCCTCTCTAATAGAACAGACTTGAAATATTCACTTAATGAATTGTTTTGAAGATGGACGAAGCTGCAGCCAAAGCAAACCAGAAGAAGAAAATATCCAAAAAGCCTCTTCCGGTAACCACAAGTAAGTACATTTGTGTTACGGCACATGTTAATTATTACAATCAATGTGATGCTTACCAGGGCCCAGTTGTTCAAAGCACGATTAAGCTAATCCTGGATTAGCGGGAATTTTGATTTTCAGTTTTGAAGCTTTTCAGTGAGATTTTCTGTTTATATTTTTTGCTCTTCAGTTTTGACTTTGACAAATGTCAAACTCCACAAAACATTATCATGGAAAACCACATTTATATAGGAGAAATTGAAACCGCGATTATTTATTTTGTTAATCCTGGATTAGCGTTGATCCGCTTTCGAACAACTGGGCCCAGTAGTTTAATTGTTTATATTGGATGGATTCTGCCAAGTTAACGGTATGATCATAGTGTCACAGATTGGTTGTTACTTGCATGCAAAAATTGAAACCGATCAACAACCAGCCACACACTCCACAGATCTTTCTGTAGAGCTGCGTCATCAGTGTGTATTTTATTGGTTGAATCTCAACTTCTCTCCCACAGGGAAGAATTGTGCATGCAATTTTCTCAGTCTAACTTACCACCGGTGATAACACATTTCGGGTGCCCTGCCACCAGTATTTTTGTCAAAACTTCATTATAATATTGCTTCTTATATCTGTGACAGTACAAAATAACCAAATTTTGTTGTCATGGCAATGAGCTAATCAAGCTATGAATTGGCCATACACATAGTTTATTTTGGTGAGCGCTCTTAATTCCAGGGATGTAGATTCATTTTTTGACAGGCGGGATTATATAGCTAATGGGCGGAAATACTATGCCGGAGGCCCATTGGTGCCGAAGGCACAATCCTACTAGGGGGGTATGGGGGCATGCCCCCCCAGAAAATTTTGAAATCTAGACTCTCGCAAATGCGTTTTCCTCGATTTTCAGGGTTAATTCATTGCCATTTTGGACTGTTCTCAGTAAGCAAGAATCAATGTTTTTCTGTTAATAAAGCTGTGAAAAACTTTGTGATGTGTCTTTTATGTTCCTTACAATACATACAAGAATAAATACCACGATTCAGTTAAAGTGCTACTACGATCAAAAATACACTTCTCCTGTTCTCTTCGGATTTCGAAACTTTAACCACCAAATAGTAAATGTGCCAAATATCAAGTAAAAATTCTCACGGGAAGTCCGATTATTTTAACTCTACTTTCCAACTTCGACTTGCCGCCATTGCTGGATTCAAAAATGTCCGAGCGCGTAAATAAAGATTGGGACGAGAGGACAATGACGTCATCCAATCAACCAATTCGAAACAAATATGGCTTCTTCTGTGTGCGCGAAGGCTGATTTCATGTTGTATTGTATATCGACGAAGTTCTAGAGCTTTCTATAAACGTAGAACGCTTTTTCTTCACACAAGAAGATACATCCAACGTATTGTGTCGACTATGCTAGCAGCAGGAGTCTCAAAAGCCAGAATTTCTTCGCACAACTCTCCTACTCAGTGCTGGTTTAAAGAGCCTCATCACGCTGCTCAAATCGAAGACGAAGATAAGCTTATTACGGATGATATCGTCTGATGACTTATTGATCAGCAGTTTAACTACGGGCCGGGCTGTTGGGTATGTGCTTACGGGACTACGGGAGGTTGTTTTTTGTCAGCTGAATGAAACTCCTCAGAATGGACTAAATATTTCAAAGCTTCGCTTGTTTACTTTCTGAACTGTAATTATACACATGGTATAAAGTGTTGTCACGTGCTGCTTGTTTGGATACTTGGATTTTAATAGTTACTTCCAACGAACTAGTGCAAGGTAATACTGGGAGATCAAACAAAATTTATAACAATTTGTTCCTATATTTAACTTAAATAAAATAAAAGCCTAAAGCTAGTTGTGTCTTCAGTGTCAATTAGCTCAAGGTGCATATTTCCTTGGTTTTGATATCATCCATTTTTGAATTGAATTTGTATCTTTGATGCTATGTTATTGTAAACTTTATTGTAATGTAAATTGACAGGGTTCATACAGTCTAGAAATGTAGAAAAGTATGGATTTCCTGACTAGCTTTACAGACCTGGAAAAAGTTTGGAAAATGAAGTTATGTCTGGAAATTTGTCGAAGCTACATTGTGTACAACAAGTTCTGTTATTCAATGAAATCTTTGTCAGGTAGCTGGAATTCCTATTCTCGGCGTTTGATTGCGTGTGTTAGGCCCAGTTCAGACGCCGTACTTCACATGAGCCGAATCAAATTCGATGAATTAAGTTTGTGTGAAGTACGGTGTCTGTATCAATTCGGAACGGCTGATTGAATTCGGATCGGCTCAGGCCATTCTTCCCGCCTGGCTCAGCCGGGAATTACGGCTGTGGACTGACTTTGATTCAGACGCCAAACTTCACATGTGCCGAAACAAATGCATGAATTATTATAATGTATTTTCAATATAACAGCAATTTCCCCCTAAAAATTAAGTTTGGCTGAATTAAGCTCGGCGTCTGAATCAATTCAATCGGTCTAAATTAATTTGGGTCGGCCTAAATTCAAATTCGATATGGCTCATGTGAAGTACGGCATCTGAACTGGACCTCAATCTGC